TTAACATTTTCATTAAATGATGGGTGGAGAAATAAGATATGGAATATCACCACTCAAAACAAAAAGAAAAAGACTGACTTGACCTGTGTCTCTCTCAGAAGCAAAAGCTCTCTCTTCGTTGCTTCTCTCAACAAATCCCACCCAAAATACGATTGCTTCTTCTCTTACATGTTCTACTGTTCAAATCGAAACCCAGTTACCCAGCACCAGCAGCCAGCAGCCTTGCAGTTGTAGACAACGTAGCCAACACAGTTGCAGACGCCGGTCCACGGTGAGAGTCTCTCCCACCAGAGTCTGATTATCCTCTGAAATCGTATCCCGACAGTCGAATTCGCGTATTGAAAGCGTATTCAGAGGTCAACTGGTCAACAAATACGTTCAGATACGTATCTGGGTCGTATCGGGTACGCGTGTCGTATCACAAACCGTATATGATACGGGATAAGCCATAAAACTGGCATGTCCGTGCTTCGCAGTGCGGGCAAAGTTCGTTTGACTGACTCTTCCATTCCTTATAAGCTGTGGACTTTGTTGGTCTATCTTAATTTCTGTGGCCATCCAATCTCAAGTGTTTTTTCTTACATTTGATAAGACTTCTTCTCTTTTGTGCAGATTAAACTTTGGTTTTCTGGTTTTCCGTTTGTCTTTGAACAATGATGGAGCATTCACGTACTATTCGTCATTTGGTTTTGTTGAAATTCATGCCTGGCTTCTTTCTCTTAGTCTTATACATGATGAGCACATGTCAGGAATCTGCAGCATTTCCCAGCCCTACCCTGCTTGGAAACGAATCTGATCGCTTAGCTTTGCTAGACTTGAAGAAAAGAATAACTGAAGATCCCCTCAGTGTCATGAGCTCATGGAATCATTCCATCCACTTCTGCAATTGGGTAGGCATTACATGCCACCGTGCCACCCAAAGAATCTTGATTCTGGACCTGGGAGATAAACAATTGGTAGGCTCCATTCCACCTTCCATTGGGAATCTTACTCGTCTAATTGAAATAAGCTTGGGAAGCAACAAATTTCATGGTGAAATTCCTCAAAAACTGGGTCGTCTGCATGCCCTGGAAAGTCTCAACCTGTCTTCCAATTCTTTAGGCGGGAAAATTCCGACTAATATGTCCCACTGTACACAACTAAGAGTTTTTTATCTTAATTCCAATAAGATTATTGGGTCGATTCCACACCAACTCAGTTCGTGGTTGAGTTTAACTGTTCTACATCTTGCACTTAATAATCTCAGTGGAACCATCCCAGCTTAGATAGGAAACTTTTCTTCTTTGAGGAGTCTTAGACTTGGCCGCAACAATGTTCAAGGAAGCATACCAAATGAGCTCGGGCATATAACAACCTTGAAGACATTCTCAGTTGGGCAGAATAATTTGTCTGGTATGCTCCCTTCTTCAATTTATAATATTTCTTCCATATACATTTTCAGTGTTACTGGAAACCAACTACATGGAGAGCTACTATCAAATCTCGGCATCTTGCTTCCTAATCTCGTAGAATTTTACTGTAGTATCAACAATTTCACAGGAAATATTCCTGTATCATTGTCAAATGTTTCCAGACTTCAGAGGATTGATTTTGGTGGAAATGATTTCACGGAGACTGTCCCTGGAGAAAGTCTCGGAAGCTTGCGAAGCTTAACTGTGCTAAACTTTATAGACAATCGACTGGGAAATGGAAAACTTGGTGATTTGAGTTTTCTCAATTTCTTGACTAATTGTACTAGTCTTCAACACCTGGGTCTTAGCTATAATCGTTTTGGGGGAGAAATCCCGAGATCCATATCCAACCTTTCGACCCAACTGCAAATTCTTTTTCTGGCGGGTAATTTGTTACATGGAAGCCTCCCAAACGGCATTGGAAATCTTATAAACCTTATCAATCTAGATGTAAGTGAAAACTATTTGGCGGGTGTTGTCCCTGAATAAATTAGGAAGCTTGAGAAGATAGGGAAACTGTATTTGTATGATAACAAATTTTCCGGGCCAATTCCATCTTCCCTGGGTAATATGATTCATTGATAGAGCTTTACATGCACATAAACAGTTTTGAGGGAGGTATACCTCCAAGTCTTGGAAACTGCCAGAACCTGTTAGTACTTACACTTTATAATAACAATCTAACGGGCAACATACCTCAAAAGCTTATGGAGCTTTCAACCCTTTCAATTGGTTTAGACCTGTCTGACAATTATTTGACTGGTTCACTGCCAAGTAAAGTGGGTGATCTGGTGCATCTCACACTGCTAAATGTATCAAACAACAAGTTATCAGGTGAAATCCCCAGCACCCTCAGCAGTTGTACTAGTTTGGAAGGCCTCTTCTTAGACGATAACAAATTTGAAGGAACAATTCCTCAGTCTCTTAAAGATTTAAAGGGCTTGGAAGAACTTGACATTTCAAGCAACAACTTATCCGAGCAGATTCCTGAAGTCATAGGCAAACTTGGAGCACTTAAGTATCTCAATCTTTGGTATAATGATTTTGAAGGTGAGTTGCCTAAAGCAGGAATTTTTTCAAATGTCAAAGGTGCCTCAGTTCTTGGAAATCATAGGCTCTGTGGTGGCATCCCACAATTACATCTACCTACATGCCCCAAAAATAAACACCATTCATCTCGAGGACTACTTTCCCCAAAAGTGGTCATCCCTATATCTTGTGCACTTGCATTCATAATTGCTCTATCATGCTTCTTTGGTGCTCGTTCAATGCTGAAAAAATCAAGAGGTGGACTTGTAACTTCACGTTCTTATAAGGATTGGAAATTAGGTGTTTCGTACTCACAACTTGTTGAATCGACTAACGGTTTCTCTGTAGATAATTTGATTGGTTCAGGAAGTTTTAGTTCTGTTTATAAAGGGGTAATTCCTAGCGATGGAACGGTAGTTGCTGTTAAGGTATTAAACCTTCAACAACAAGGAGCGTCCAAGAGTTTCAATGATGAATGCAAAGCTTTAAGAAGTGTCAGGCATCGAAATCTTGTCAAGATCATAACTGCATGCTCAAGCATTGATAATCATGGTACAGACTTCAAAAGTCTAGTCTTCGAGTTCATGCCAAATGGAAATCTTGACTCATGGTTGCATCCTAGAGATGAGGAGCAATCTCCAAGTAAGAGATTGAATTTTATGCAAAGATTGAACATAGCCATTGATGTTGCTTCTGCGTTAGACTATCTCCACAACCATTGTGAAACGTCCATTGTTCATTGTGATCTAAAGCCGAGCAATGTCCTTCTTGATGAAGACATGGTAGCCCGTGTTGGGGACTTTGGTTTAGCAAGGTTCCTCATGGAAGCATCAAATGATCCATCCCTCAATCAAACAATGTCATCGCAACTAAAGGGTTCTGTAGGTTACATTCCTCTAGGTATGAGATTCCATCATTCTAATTTCTTTTTTTTCGGTTCTTATTAACTTATTACTAAAAACCAAATTAAATTCTATTTATTAAAGATATACCATTGACTTTTTTCCTAGAAACAATTAACATTAATCTGAAATAAGATATCAATTCTAATAGTCAATTGCATATGACATCTTATTATCTATATGTATGTCAGGGTAGAGTACGGCATGGGAGGCCAAGTTTCCATACTGGGAGATGTTTACAGCTACGAGATACTCTTGCTAGAAATGTTCACAAGAAAAACACCTATTAATGACTTGTTCATCGAAGGTCTAAGCATTTACAAATTCGCAGCCATGGCTTTGCATGACCATGTCATGGATGTTGTTGACCCTTCATTGCTCCTCAACCTAGAAGCTGATGGTGGTGTTAACGATGACAGATATGAAAGCACTGTGCTGCCAAGACGTAACAATCACGGAGTGGTGAAAGCAAAAAAGGTAAAGGAATGCTTGTTGGCTGTGATGTAGATAGGACTCTCCTGCTGTGCAGTATCACCAAGGGAACAAATGCGTCTGAATATGGTTGTCGGAAAAATGAGTGCAATTAGGGACTCGTACCTCAAAGTTCAAGAAGGCTAAAGAAGGACAAATATATGCTGCTTGTGGTTTTTCTTTTCTTGTTTTTCTCTACTTTTCTTGTCATCGCTTTGAACCTTGCCTTTTTATGTTAGCAATTGTTTTCTACGGAAAAAGTTTTCATTTGTATGACTTGCAACTTTCAAATTCTTATTTGTGTGGAGCTATTTATAATTGTCTTGGTTATGTCAATCTTGTTTAGAATCTAATAAACTTAATGCTTAAGCAGTTTATAACATTTCAGTTTCATATATATATATATATATTGTAGGATGTGCGTTATGGTTGTGACAGATGATGAAAGATTTGCTTCAAGGCATGTATAAATAAATATGTTGTCTTCCATACTCTATTCGTCCCGTACAATGTGCAAAAGGATATGCGAATAAGCCTTGTAGATACAGTTAAGATTTAACTAGAAACTAATACTACAGATTTAGTTTTTAGACTATCGTTGTTTCAAAAAATCGGAGTATAAAGATAATTCTCACTTTTTTTCTTCTCTCTAGCCTTGATATCACTTTCATGAATTTCTATTTTGTTTCGTGTTCTCTCTAAAACATTTGATTTAGTTGATTTTATAGGCAAATGAATAAGCTAGTATGACTCAAAAACCGATTATTCCATTCTTTTATATTTTCCGCAAATAAATTTAATATATTATATCAGATCATTCCCATTTACAACATAAAATTGATAAATAAGAAAAACAAATTTTGTTGTATGAATTTTTTTTTAAACAAACAATATTATCGATGGAAAAGTGGGCTAAGCCTCACCTTAGACTAGTAATAATATAGTTCAAATTCGTTTTTAGCGAAAGTCAAACTTAAAACCTCTCAACTTACAGTTTATGAAGAATATTATTAGGTAATAATATTAAGCGACAATTTTTAATTGAAACTTAAAAGGTACAAAAAAATAAAATAAAATAAAAATAAAAAACAATCACCCCTATCCGATTCTCTCTCAGTCAGCCAGCCGAGCCCAACTCCCCCAATCGGGCCAATCTCCTCTTAGAGTAGCATCCCTTCATCCGAGTCCTCTCCAGCTATCTTCAGTAAGCTTTGCTCTTTTCGCTTCTCGTTCTTCCTCTCTAGTTTTCGCATATGTAGAAAACTGCTGCTGTATTTTGATTATTTCCATCTAAAATTCAAATTTCTAGTTGAATGCGCATTTGATTACCTGTTTTAGGGTTCCTGTTCTGTTCAATTTATTAATCGTTTCATCTATTTACACAGCATGTTTAATTCTCACAATTTTTTTTCTGTTATGGGAATTAGGCAAACATCGCAATGTCACAGCCCGTCCTGGAATTTTAATTCCGAGGACGTGAAAAGATGAAAATGCCCTTAAACGGGACTAAGGGGCGAAAATTTAACAATTGGTTTTACTTAAAGTTCCTAAGTTATTTGGTTTTAGGAACTTAAGCTAGGCTTAAGTTTGGATTTTTATGTTGGAATTTATGAAATTGGGATTGGGTTGGACACGTGGGATCCCCACACCTCAAAACCCTCCCCATAACCCGTAACATTGTCTCTCTCTCTCTCCTCCCTCACGAAACTCTCAGTTCTCTCTCCCTCTCCTTCGAACTCACACGGACCACCACAAAACCACCCTAAATCTATACCAACGACGAATCTAAGACCACCATTGGAACCCTGAAGACTTCACGAGCACGATGGTATCCATTTCAGGTAAGTTCTACTTCGGAAACCCTAGTTTTTAAGGTCCCGTGTTTATGTACTGTTCATGATCTTTTAAATGGTTACGTTTTAGGCTAAAACAAGATCACAGCGAGCTTTAGAAAGTCCCAAGGAAGCTCGGAGTACTTCGTTTGAAGGATTTGGACGTCGGGATCACGTGGTTCCATTTTGGCCGAATTTCTTGGGAATTTTCCGGTGAGATTTCTTGATTTTTAGAGCCTTAAAGTAGTGTATTGTGATTCTACATGTTTGGGGCTTCAATTTGATATATTATACGAAGAAAATGGGTGAAAAACGAAGGAGAACAAGGCATTTGAAAAATGCCCAGAATCCGGCCACCGGAGAAAAACCAGTCCGGCGAACTCGCGAGGAAGAAGGTGCGCGTGGGCGCGCGTGGACCCTTGCCTTCCTTGGCGCGTGGGGGCGCGTGCTACAGTAAAAAATTATTTTAAAAATATGTCGACGTCCGTGACGTCGAGTAGATCACTGTGGTATATTCATATACCCAAATTGAGCACCGTATGAGAAATTTATTAAGGATTGTTGGTTAGGTGTTCGAATAACGTTTTATAGTTTTTGCATTAGGTGAAAATGTGAATTGATGATCCGACCGTTGGATGGTAATGAAATTTTAGGATGTTATCCTAGAGATATATTGTGGACCTCTGGAAGTTATGGATTTAAAATCTGAGTGGCAGATCTTCCGGATCGATCTACGTAGTGACGTATTTTATATAAGTTATATATTCTATCGATATGAATTCTGAGGTTGGATTTGATTACTGTTCTAGGTGGCGATCGTCATGACGCCTTGGCGTATTGTGCTAGGGAGTTGTAGGGCGAACTCCAGGTGAGTGGGCAGTTTTGTTTTCCGTATATATATATACTTGACGTTTTCCCAGAAATTGAAATTTAATGAAAGTATGCTTTAAATGCAATGTATAAAATTATATGAAAAGTATATTGAAATGTGAATTGAGATGCCATGCATAAAAGTATATGAAAAGTATATAGAAATGTGAATCGAATTGCCATGCATGAAATGATATGAAAAGTATGAATTGAGATATGATGCATATGAATGAATGGTGCGGCGGACGCACAGGTGAGTATCAGGTGAGTATTTAATTACTGTTATGATGTTGATATATATTGAGCTCAAATCCTGCACCATGGTTTAGTGCTTATAGTATTCACCGCATCGCACGCTCGCCTTGGATCCAAGTAGATGCTGGTCGCACAGTCCACGCGGAGTGGGTGCGACGGGCCAGTCGTAGAGTGTTAGTGAGATTTCGACTGGTGGGTGACCTTAGATTATGTGCACAGATGATTGATGAGAAAGCACTAGAGCGTAACTTGTGTGCAGAAGGCCGGACAGGTCACAGAGGTGACTCCGGCAGAGTGAGAGTGATAGATTTTGAGCTCTAGGTTCAACCGTACAGGGCCATTAGAGGGCCTCCGGTTGATTACTTCTTGCACCTGATATAATTATTGTTGATGCATTCATACTTAACTGTTGAATTCCGACATGGCATGGCATATTTGTATTGAACAATGTTGAGTTAATGAATTGAAGTTTTGAGATTATATATGTATATTTATATTTTACATTTCTGGGAAAGTATACAAGTTTTACGGAGAGGGGTTACAATGTTTTGAGAAAAGTTGGATTTGAAAAGAATTTGTTTTACTGACCCACTCAATTTTGGTTTTGCGCCCCTCCAGGTTAAAGAATAGCTGAGGTGTGGTGGCTACGAGGAATTCAGCGGGGTTCTGACAGAATGGATCAAATTAGGACTCACCTTCGGGTGTATCAACTTATAAATGGTATCTTAAAGCTTCCGTACTGTGCAAATGGTTACGTCACTCTCACGTGACGGCCAGCATGCCCTCCTTCGGGACGGGGTGTGTCACGCAAGCACCCAGAAGTTGACAGAGTAATTAGAAATTAAAAATTTTGGATTTTTTGGGTTTTTTGGGTATTGGAGTTATGGGGTTTTTTGGGTATTGGATTTTTTGGGTTTTATTATTTTTGTGCATAGTTGTAAAAGAGTTTGCAAATATTCGTAGTTGATCGATTAGTTGCATGATTTGTGAATATAAACATCCTACAATTTGGCATGAAATTGTTAAAAAGTATGCAGATTTGCAAATTGGTTGAGTGTCGAAACTTTTGAATGTGCATTAGCGTTAACAATTGATGCAGGAGCATCTGAGGGGCACTCGAAAGCTAAGTCGGCTGCCAGCCAGCTAGGCTAGGATTCTAGTTAATTTGGGGATAGAGTTTTTATCATTTGGATTCTGTTTCTACTGTGATTTGGCCCTATTTGATCCGCTGGACAGAAGCTTATTTTACCCTGTTGTTGCAGGAACATGGCGAAGCATCATCCTGACTTGATTATGTGTCGGAAGCAACCTGGAATAGCTATTGGAAGGTTGTGTGAAAAGTGCGACGGTAAGTGTGTAATTTGTGACTCTTATGTGCGCCCTTGCACGCTTGTTCGGGTTTGCGATGAGTGCAACTATGGATCTTTCCAGGGAAGGTGTGTTATTTGTGGTGGGGTTGGAATTTCTGATGCTTATTACTGCAAAGAGTGTACTCAGCAGGAGAAAGATAGAGATGGCTGCCCGAAAATTGTGAATCTGGGAAGTGCCAAAACAGATCTGTTCTATGAACGGAAAAAGTATGGTTTCAAGAAAAGATGATAATTAGCAGGTCATGTTTTGCTTAGCTTCGGGAAATCATTTTGTTTTGTTCATCATTGAGGCTTAGCCAATATTACAATCAGGTATTTTTCTTAGGAAACTTGCTTGTTACTGCTTGTATGTTTGACTGTTGTACTTTCTCGTTCGATGTGTTTCCAACCTACTCTCATTATGTGGCTAGTCTAATTAAGGAGTTAATGACTTCCATAATTCTAACTCGTAATCTTTGTATGTGGCATGCATCTATGGATGTTTGAACTCCTCGGTGTTCTTGGAGCTTTGTTAATCCAATTTCATATGTGATTTAAGATTCAGTAGATGAACTCGGCATTTCCTTTTTATCTTCTACTGAAATTGTGAAATGGATGTATGAATTGGGGACTCCATGCTAAAGATTGCTCAGTAAGTCGATGCTACTCTTTAAAATCTTTCAAAATCTCAATTGAATACACCCCCGCTTATTAATTTTGGCTAGGTAGTGTTCCCCTGAGATTAGGGTAGTCAAAAGAACAGATCCCATTACTATGCGATTCAAAACTTATGGTCTACAAATGAACACCTTTGTTAGATGATCCGGCCATTCAGATTTCGATCAAGCTCTATGGAATGTGAAGAGTCATATAAGTGTGAATTTACAAAAATATTATTCATTTCTCTTCTTAAGAACATAGATCATTTGCGTGAGCGAGATTATTGGAAAACATGTATTTCAATATGTACGTATGAGTATAATACATTTTTAGTACATTAGAGTTGTTAAATGTATATTTCAACGAATCATTATGACGTGTACGACAAACAGAAGCACACAAATTTACTAATGAGGATAAATAATCAACAAATAGTTTTATTGTTGGTCGCCACACAAGTTCAAACCTCATTGGATTTCCCACTTCATGCATAAAAGAATTGAGACACGTTGAGTTGTTGAGGTCAGAAGAAGATACAAATTCGTTTTAACACAATTAAAAGCGTTTTAAGAAAAAATGTTTGGTTTTTTGTTAAAATGATTTCTGAAATTGACATAACTTCACTTTGGTCCCAATGATTTATAATCGATAGAAATGGTCCATAAAATTGCTCATCGTCAATCATTATGGTTATTTCGTGAAAAATCTTAATTAAATTGAGAGTATTTTTGTCAAATCAACCTCTCCACTTGAACTAATGGTTTTTTCAATTTCCCTGAGATTTTGCACAAAAAATCAAAATAATTGCCGGTTGACAATCACATGGATTACTTTTATTAATTTTAAATCTCAAATAACCATTTTGGTTAAAAAACCACAATGTTTTTTAGTTCTAAAAGTAGGTAAGTACTTTTTTAGGGTTTACTTGTTTTTTTACTAAAAACTGTTTTCAAAAATATTTTCACTAAAAACGCTTTCAGTTATTTGAAAAGCACTTCTAAACGAGTTTTTTTTTTATCTCTGCTCCACATAGAAGCCACCACAACCATCATTGGCTGGTCAAAAATGCCAATGGGCAACACCAGGATACCCTTTCCTCCTAAAAGATGATCACTTGCAGCAATTGATACACGTCATGAACCAATTTTCTCAATTCAAGCAGTGCAGCAAATTCTCCCATCACTTAAAGTCAAGGCAAATTTGTCACCTACCCTTCAACTTCACTGCAATCAGCAATCGCTTGGAGCTGCACCCCACTTTATTATTTTCTCCCATCATCACACATGCTAGTGACTAGTTTAGTGACTAGGAATGGGAAACAGATTGAGATCAAGTTCAAGTTAGTCTAACTAGTGATACGATGAAGCAGTGTTGATCTTCATTTGTAAGTTTAAGGTCCTGGGTTTGATTCACATTAATAGCGAGAACATATTATTTTTTGTGTTGAGTTTAATATCTAGTAAGTGGTTGACCCATTGTGTGGCCTAAACCAGCCACTTAAATGCAGAATAATGTTGTATCCAAAAAGTTCTTTTAGCCCCCCTCCCTTAGAATAGATTATCCTCTTTAGATGAGTCTTTCATGCAATAGAAATGCTACCTCAAGTAAATTGTATACTATTGTATGGAAGAACAATATGGTTAACCGCTATCCAACTCAATAGTGGTCTGTTTACTTACCAAGAACGAGAATGTAAGTAAGTAATTCTCACTCCTGACATCATGAGTTTACTAAAATGCAAGGAATAAAAAGGTAGCATAATCCCTTATTAACTCATCCGAAAAGTAAGTACGCATACCCTAAAGTATAACTGAAAAAAGAGTTCCGTCTCATCGAAATAGTCCAGTTCAAGCCAAACCAACAACTGACAACCAAAGCATCCATCCTTCACACTTCTTTTGTACTTGGCCATTTAACTTTCCCACTTGCACCAATGCAAACATTGCCTATTTAGAAAGATATCCCTCCCCCGAGGGTTTAACCTCCCCACCACCACCACCCAAAACCCAAAAACGATGACTTGGCTTCACACAATCCCTCCACTTGGCAGCCTGGAGACGTGTTGCCCTACGAGACAAAACCCACCAAGATCCTTCATCCGGGCAGCCTCAATTTCCCCTTTCCTCCTTCCTCTCCCACCACTTTGAACACTTCATACTCCTCTGGCTTCACTACGAGACAAAACCCACCGAGATCTTTCAGTTATATACATCCCCCCTCACCTCCTCTGTTTTCCTCTCTCTCTCTCTGAAAAAACAAAATGCATGAACCTTGCTCTCGAAGTATCCTCACCCATTAGCATTACTTGCCCACAAAGCAAATCAAAAACCAAAATTCCAAAAGAAATCCCCCACCCTTCGAATCCCACCTCCTATTTAATCCCACACATCTCTCTGTTTTTCGTCGCCATTAAAACCCCAGAAAGCTTTGCTGTTTTTGTTTTGGTTATGACAAACGGCTCTCACAGCGGCAATGCGTCGAACACATTCGAGGCATTCTACGAGGGCTGGCTAGTCCAGCAAGAACACTTCCTCGATGAGCTCTTATCGGCCCAGCAGACGATCGACGAGGCCCGAGATGAAGACCTCCGAGATTTGGTGTCTCGGGTTCTCTTCCATTACCAGCAGTATTACGACGAGAAATCGCGACTTGGACAGCGGGATGTTTTACTGGTTTTCTCGCCGACGTGGTATACTTCCTACGAAAGGAGCCTGCTTTGGATTGCCGGGTACAAACCGGGTATCGTATTCCGGCTCGTGACCGAGTCGGTGCCCGATTTGAGCGACCAGCAGCGGGTCAGGATGGCCCGGCCGAGGGAGGCGACCCGGGTCGAGGAGCGCGCGCTCACCGACAAGCTCGCCAAGATTCACGAGACCGTGGCGGCGCCGCCGTTCATGGATGCGGTGCGGCGGTACGGGAGGGCCAGGCACGGGGATATCGTGGAGGACGACGCGGTGATCAAGTCCCTTAAGTCGGCATTGGAGACCGTGGTGGAGAATGCCAACTTGCCGAGGACGACGATGGCGATGAAGCTGGTGGATTTGCTAAGCTCGGGGCAGGCAGTGAGGTTTTTGACGGCGGTGATGCAGTTTCAGTTAAGGATTCGGAGTTTGAGGTTGGAGAGGGACGCCGAGAAGCAGCGGGAAATGAGCGGAGGCGGTGGTGGTTGGAATCCAATTAGTAGTAGGTGGTAGAATTGGGAATTTTTATTTGACATCTAATTTAAATTTAAATTATTAATTATTTATTTTACCTTATTGCATAATTACTATTAAGTACAAAATAAAATTAATAATAAAACTTAAATTTATCAATAAACCCATTAAATCCTATCATTACTTCTTGTTTATCATACGTTCATCCCGGCTAAAACCCTAATAACTCTTGTAGAGAAAAATAAATTTTTTATTGATGAATTGCGATTTTGAAGTTTTGAATCCTCTAATAAAGTACGACTCAAAACACCAAAAGACTTTTACTGTTTGTATGCACCCAAAACACCAAAAGACTTTTACTGTTTGTCTGTGCCGCAAAACTTTTTGCAACACTTTTGATTAGATAATTCAAGCTTAGAGTTTTATGTGTCTAAAAAATTCAATTAGAGATGTGATTTTATAAAGGGAATGGGTATAAATATAATTTAACATTTTGAATTGAGTTTGAAATAGTAGTTTAGGTAATAAATTTGGGTTTAAAGAGAGATTAATTCTGTAATAAAAAACAATATGGGTGAAAAGAGTAAGTTAGGTATAGAAATAGGTTACATGGGTTCAAACAAAATGTATGGTGGGTTTAAAGAGAGATTAATTTGAGTTTTATATTTTGGAGGAAAATGTATGGTGGGTTTGGCTATAATTTTGATTATGGATGGTAATGGTAATTTTGAGATGTGCATTATGTTATATTTAATAAGATTGCATTTCGCAATGGAGCTTGGATGATGAAAATGTTTTTTAATATAATTGATATAAACTAAAGTTTTGAACTTAGGACAGAGTAAATTTAAATTTGAAACGCAGTGAATATGATGTAATTTGTTTTAGTTACAAAGAAAAATGATACTTTATAAGTTTTCCATAAATGGGGGTAAGGCTAGCCGACATTCACCTCTTCCAGACCCTGCGTAAAGCGGGAGCCTTGTGCACTGGGTACGATCTTTTTATAAGTTTCGATTAGACATCAAAAATATTACTAAAGGGTATGATCTTAGGAATGTATGGTCAATAGAATGAGACTCACTAGAAATATTACTAAGAAAGGTATGATCTTTGGAATGTATAGTTAATAGAACGAGACTCGACTAGACTTCTACTCGTACTTTTCCTCCGCTTGGAGTCCAATTAGATCAAATTCCAATCGCTTAAGGAAAGGTTCCTGGATGATCAAGAGAACAAAACTTGATTAGACACTTCTAGTCAAACTTTTCTCCCACTTGGAGGCCAATTTGACCAAACTCCAAGCACTTAAGAGCAACATTTTATCTTATGAACGACAATTGTTGATTAAAAATGTCTTCGAAACTCATGGGTGTGTAACGGCTCCCTTGGCCTTGAGGGGGAGAAGACGACATTTTGGAAGGTTACAGTCAAAGATGTAACTACTTATGACATTTAGCAGCCCGTTAAAATCTTATCCTACAAAACCCAACAGCTTTTGGTGGTAATTTTGCTTTTGCTTCTGTTGTGGTATGATAATCTGGTCAATACAGACGCCCTAGGCAAGCTTTCCTTCGACCCAACCACCGAGTTTTAGCAATCTTTGGACATTATGCCGGGGGCGCACAAGCCCAGGTATGGCGCTTTTTTGGCGAATAATTTGGGGGTCTGCTAGGATCATTTATTTGTCTTTCAGAACTATACCGATACAATGTCTAAAAACAACGATTTATAAGGCGTCCTTACTTTTGGTT